AAAAATGGCCTACATGGTAGGGGCAGAGAGTTAATACCCAGAATGTACAAGGAATGCTAACAACTCAACAGTAAAATAATAGAAAAGTGGCTGAACATGAGTTAAAGACTGTAATGGGCACTGCACAAAAGGAAATATGCAAAATGGCTAATAACTACATGAGAAAATACTCAGTATCACCAGTCATCAGGGAAAATCAAGTCAACACGTCGTGCAGATGTAACCTAAGTTTAGTAAGAACTGGCTGTCAGGCAAAGCCAGGGGTGGTGGCATATGCTTGTAATCCCGGCACTTGAGAGGCAGAGGCAGGTGGATTATGACTTGAGGCTAGCCTGGGATACATAGTGAGACAAAATGAAGAAACAGTGCTGGTGAGATGTGGGGAAGGGGACGTTTACATACGGTTGGTGGGCATGAGCATTTACTACAGCCATGTAGAACTGGAGCTAGATCTCCCACATGATCCAGCAATCCCGTCACCGGGTATGAGCACGTTAAACAGATTCTTACGTCCATGCCGAATTAGTCTTCTTAGGCCAGATACAGAGTTCGCCTAAGCATCTCTCAACAGCTGAAAGGAGTTTTTAAGTGAAGTATAATACAGTTCAGACATGAAACGAGTAAAATTGTCATGAGCCCCATGTTGAGGGGCGTCTGTCGGGGTCCAACCTTAGTAGGTTGGCATGTTCCAAGGTAGGGGCGTGTGGATTAGAAATGTCAGGCAGACAGACCAGAGATACAAAGAAAACAGACAGCAACACAGACTAGAGTTGGGAGGGCAATCCTGTGAATACTGAATTCACCCATTTATTTTCCATGTGCTTATATACCCCAATCCAAAAAATGGGGTGGGGGGAGGCAACAGACTGCTTTAACATGATACAAAGGACAAACAGAGCAATTACCTCTTCAATACCTGAAGCATCAATCGCCTGTATCCTGAATTAAGCATTCTGTTGTTTAGGCAGGACTTGCAGTGACTACATCTTAGTTCAAGTGTCTTTAGGCAACCACTCCCTGGGTCAAAGCTCCTGTCATATCCTCGAAGGAGCAGGAATATGCCTGAACTCTCTAACCTATCCTCATGGTAGAACGGATCCACCTCTGTGGGCCATCTTAATACCCCAAACACCAAGTAGCCACACCCTAGATCAAGACATCTTGTTAGCACCCACACCTTAAGTCAAAGTTCTTGCCAAAAACCTTGAAGGAGCAAGAACAGGCCTGAGCTCTCTGACCTTTAGTCAAGGTGGAATGGACCCACTCCTGTGGGCTCCCACCTAAAATCCTGCCATTTATGACAATTTTGGAGCTGAAGATTCTTAGGCTGAATGAAAGAAGCCAAGCACAGGACAGACACTGCATGCCCTCACTCTTACATGGAGCCTCTGTAAGAAAAAGGATTTCAAAAAAAGCAGAACATGCGTTCCCAGACCGTGGAGGGAGGAAGAGGGGTTCATGGGGAAAGGTTGGTGAAGATAACTCAAATCTAAGAGGGGGTGCTTTGGTATTCTGTAACCCGATAGGTTGGCATCGCTTCAAATATAACTACAAGAGAATTTTCACATACTCATCACAAAAAAATAATGTTTGAGGTGACAGACATGCTAATGATTCTGACTTGATCATAGTAACATACATACATGCACCAAAGCAACACACTGCCCAATAAATACATACAGTATTAGATGCCAATTTAAAGTCAAGTCAAACTAAAACAAACAATGAGCTAATGAGTTGAAAGTTTTGGTGTTAGGTCATGCCTTCAAGGAATACAAGGTACCAGCCGAGCTGTCTTTGGGGATCTGATTCAGCTACCCATCTATCGACTACTTAAATCTGCTGGCTGCCATGCTCAGTTACCCCTGAGGGCTTCATGCTTGCTGCTGCTCTTGGATACTGAGAACCGTGTGGAAGCCACATGCAGCGAGTGACTGTGTGCCTGGGAGCGAGGCTGGAGGAGATAAGTTGCTTAAACAACGAACTGATGGAAATTTTAACTCCTGATTTCTATTTCTCTCTTCAAGGGCGTGGACAGGCCTGAATTCAGAGACAACTCTGACCACTTTTGACTAAGAGGATTCCTGTAAATATTACTCTTTTTATTCATAAATATTCCTAGGAAGGCAAAGAATTACCAGCTACAGGACTTGGATGGAAATGTTTCCTGTTTGCCCTGGAGGCAGATTAACTGAACTCTCCTTCTGCAGGACATGTACTCAAGGTAAACATGGTACCAGCCAGCTCTTCCGGCCACCTCCTGGCCCTGGTTGTCCTCTCTCCTTCCCTCTGCATACTTCCTTCACTCACTAGGGTTCTCTCTTTCCTTTCCACTGCTAACCCCCCCAACACACACACACACACACACACACACACACACACACACACACACACTGCTTCTTGCCTGCATCTTTAGCTTGGTAGAAAACACTTAATAATTAAAATTAGAATGTTGAACAAGTCAGAAATACCAGATGTGGCTTGTTTAGTGCTAAGTTCTCATTAGTGGTGCTGTCATCCACATTGTAAATTTGGGGAAAATGCCACATACACACAGACACCGAGAGACAGACAGACAGACAGACAGACAGTGGTTAGATGACTTTTGATGTTTTCTCCCCAGAGCGACTTTCTCTGTTCTGATCCTCCTGAGCCTCAGCTCTGAATCAGAACATCTGGGGATTCTCTGGAACCTTCAGGAAGCCAGGAAGTCACAGCTGGGCTTCTGAGGCAGGGCTAGGGAGCAGTGAAGATGTAAAGAATACAATTTAATCAACCTGTTTTGTATCTCCTAATCCAACAAGTCGTGTTTATGGGCTCGCGAGAGTTGTTTACTTTGCCATTAGAACCATCTCCCTCTTCTGCTACTAGACCTGTACGTATGGGCTCGGCAGATGTTGTCAGGACAAAACCTGCAACGAGGCTCATTCCCAGCACCTTCAACCTTAAGTTTTGCTCCAGTTTCTAAGGCTGGAGGTCTGTCATCTTCCAGCCCAGTCTTCCAGAGATCCGGGAAGACACTGACCCAAACTCTGTGGGCCATGCACTCATCACTTGTTTCAGGTACAACTTTTAGAATATCTTCCATGAGGAGGTTTTATTTCTTGTGTAATTCCTGGGTAAGTTATTCTAAGAAATCCCTTGAGCATTTTCCAATAAACACACAGCATTTAGTTTCCAATAAACTCGTGTTATTATACTTCCTCGAGTTTGGTTCCTCTGGAGTCTGTAGAAAAGAATGACTAAAACCAGTGTGATTTCAAACACTAAGAAATAAAATAAGATATTTTTAATAGAAGTATTATTTTGTTTTCTGGAACCCTATTGAAATTTTTTTTAGTTTTAATTGTATATGTGTGTCTGTGTGGGTATATTTATATGTGTGGAGGGATCCACAGAGACTGGAAGAAGATGTCATATTTCTGCTGAGATGCCCAGTGTGGGTGCTAGCAACTGAACTATGTTATCTTCAATACCAGTATGCATCCTTAACTATTGAAGCATCTCCCATGTCCTTCTGGGACCCTTCAAGTAAAAACAAAAGCCTCTGTGAGGACCTTTGATAATATCATTAAATATCCTTGCATATTCCACATGAAATCACGACAGAAACAGGTTTTATTATTTTTGTTTCTGGGTAAGAGAGTTTTGTACAAACAGGAGGACTTAAGTTCTAATCCCCAGAACTCATGTAAAAATCTTGGTGTGGCCAGGAGCTACTAGAACTGGTGGCAGGGCTGGGAAGACAGGAGGGTGCGTGGGGCTTACTGTCCACTAGTCTCGCTCAGGTTCAAAGGGATAGGTCAGAAAGTAACCGAGTACACACTCCCGTCCTCTCCTGGGCTCCATGTGGACACGGGTGTGCGTAACCACACATACCCATGCTTATTTCTTCGATTTAACTTCTCAAATCATAAACATTTCTATAAAGCAAGTTGGGACTAACTTTGGGAGGGACGTTTTTTGCTGAAGTGTCTGAAACTCCATCAACAGTATGGCTTCCTTCCTGACTCCCAGGCACCGTGGTCTCTGGACTTGGAAGAAATGATTTATTGATGTTATTATCTACCAAGTGCTTTCTTCTGTCATCTCAGGATGGAAAGCAAGGCCCCCTGTAGGCACTGCAGGCAGACTGTTACTCATGAGTCAGCAAACCATTCCTGGGACACACACTCTCCAACTGTTCGCTTTACTGGCACAGAACCTAGAGAAAATGGTTCAGTCCTGTGAGAGCCAACTCTGACCTCAAGCAGCTTCTTAACCTCTGTTGATTAAAAGTGTGAGGAGCACGGGTGATGCTGAAATTAAACAGCCTCCCTGAGCTAGACATCTCTATCTGATTGCCAACCAGAGCAAGAGGAAATTTAAAAAGAAACTATAATTCACTCTCTGACTACACATCTTTTTTCTGCTTTCTTACAGGTGTTCCTTGTCAGTTCATTATTTCACATTATTATTATTATTATTATTGCAAAACAGTGTATTCTTAGGACTTTGAAGGCCAATAGTTGATCAGGCAGTTCATTATCTTTCTTTCTTCCAAAGAAATTTCTGCTATACAGCAATGTTGAAATGACCACCATCTCTGTCTTCTTTCTTGCCTAGGCTCCTGCTGTGACTGCAATGCCTCTTTAGCCGAACTGAGAATTCCAGTCTTGAATCCACTCATAGTTTTACTCTTCACCCTCGTTGTTTTTTACATCCCCATTTTCTTCAGAAGCACCGGAGACCTAAAACCATTCTAAAACAGCCAAAGGCCAACAGCCCATGTCAGAAGCGGGAGAAGGGACAATGTGGGCAGCTGGCTGGTCTGATCACAAACGTGTGGCATTTAAAATATAGAAATTGTTGTTTTATCTGGATCAACAGTCAATGAAATTTGGATTTTGGGGTATGGAAGAAATCATTTTCTTGAAGAAGAGAAGGCATCATATAAGAGGAGGTTCTTTTGTTTTATTACTTTTGCTTTTCAGATTCTGAGGAAGATGCACTACACAGCCATGGGAAACGTCAGTGTGGTCTCTGAGTTCGTCCTTCTTGGCCTGTCCGCTGATGCTCAGGTCCAAGCTGCACTCTGCGTGATTTTCCTTGTTATCTATGTCCTGACCCTGGCAGGGAACTCCGTGATTGTGCTAGCGATAATGGCAGATGCTCACCTCCGTTCACCTATGCACTTCTTTCTGGGTCACCTCTCATTCATTGATCTTTCGTATTCTTCTGTCTCTGTGCCCAAGATGCTGGAAAACCTAATGTCTAAGACAAAAACAATCCCCGTGAAAGGCTGTCTGGCCCAGGCCTTCTTTGTGTTTGCCATTGGAGGCACCGAGGCCTTACTCCTTGCAGTTATGGCCTATGACCGTTACGTAGCCATTTGCCGCCCTCTACTCTATGGCCAGATCATGAGCAGCTGGTTCTGTGAGGGGCTCGTGTGGGGATCCTGGGGATTGGCCATACTGAACTCACTCACTAACACCCTCCTAGCTGGGAATTTGGACTTCTGCCACTATGGAACTATACACAACTACAACTGTGAGATTCCTTCCCTCTTCCCTCTCTCCTGCTCGGATGTCTCCACTAATGCCACTGTCTTGCTCTGGTCTTTTGTTGTACATGCCTCTGCAACTCTTCTTCTGGTTTTAGCGTCCTATGGCTGCATTTTCTCCACTATCCTGAACATGCGCTCCACCGCAGGCAGAAGCAAGGCATTCTCCACCTGCTCCTCCCACCTCATTATAGTGATCTTGTACTTTGGGTCAGCCGGCCTGCGTTACACCATGCCGACCTCGGGCTCCCCCATGGAAATCATCTTCTCTTTGCAGTATGGTGTCATCACCCCGATGCTGAACCCCCTCATCTACAGCCTCAAGAACAAGGAGGTGACGACAGCTATCAGAAAAATGCTTGGAAAATGCTGGCATTTTTAGTAAGTCGACCAAAAACACAGAGTGAGGAAAACACTTGAAGAACAGAGATCATGGAGTGGAGAGATTTCATAGTGACGCCATTGGGGTTAATGCTATGTGAAAATACTGGGATTTTCCTCGAGAAATGCCACTTCCCTTGGTGGCCTTAAGGTCAATTCTGTTCAGAGACAAACCATTAAATATCTAACTCTTCTGAAGGGGCGTAAACGACCAGCAAATAGAATTAATCAGACCTAGCTTTAATATAAAATATTTAGCTTTAATGAGGGGAAGAAGAGGGGAGCTTACAAAGCCAGGGTTCCAGCGAAGAGCAGCAAACAAAGAGAGGAGGCGGGGAGCACACCCGCCAGATTTATAGGTAAATATTGGCCAAAGGTGTACACGCCCTACAAACAAGGTGATTGGCTGGGGCTTCCCCTTCATCATTTACGTATTTGTTTATTGTTTTATCTGGGAGAGGACATTTCTTAGTTTGCCCCCCCCCATACTTTCTATTTTATTTTAGTAATAGGACCCGTTTTCCTTTGGGCAGAATTCCACCGTACCATTATATGTGTGCCAGTGTCAAGTCCTTTTCACTAGGGGTGACCTTGGCACCCAGTGGGCTGCTGATTCTTTTTTAGCTCTAATGCTGTCCCCTGAGTTGTAGTCCATTGATTCAAAAGTGGCTCAGACTACCCAGCTTCCTGTACCTGTGATCTTTTTTGTGTGACTTTGCAGCTTTTCCTATCTTATTTTCCTCCTCCATGGATACGAGGTGGCTGTATCATGACTGCCTTGATGTTATCTTTTAAATAATCTATTTCAATGGCATAACTTACCAACCCACTGACTTTAACATAGAGTTTGATCATTTCTTTATTTTTAAAAATGGTATTGGAAAAGAATTGCTCTATACTGTGCTGAGTTTCATAAAGGTATTTTGAGAACTGCAGGTATAGGAATAGAAGTCACTACTACAATCTTGTATAAAATATTTCTCTCCTAACACAAAGTTCCCATGGGCCTTTGACAATATATTTCTTTTCGACTTCTGGCCCTTGGCAATCACAGATTAACCTTCAATGACTATAATTTTGTCTCTGCATGAATTTCACATAGATGCAGTAACAGTGTAAAGCAGATGTTTGTGTCTGCTTCCTTTCCTTCAGCGTGGGGATGCCGACCCATTTATCCTGTAATGTACGTACATGAGTAGACGTATCTGCGAAGGTGCATGTGGTCACCCACCTGGATAAATACCTAGGAGAGGAGATCTGGGGTCAGAGTGATTGTAATATTTGACTTTACAAGAAACTGCTTTGCTACTCTCAATACTGTCTGCGCAACTAATGTTCCCACCAGCAGCCCATGAAGATTCTAGTTGCTCTCCAAATCCTTGCCAGTATTTGGCATTGAAAATATACTCATTTTTAATTTTCACATTCAAGTAGACTCTAAAAAAGTTCAGTTTATACTTTTAAACCTCTCATAAAAGAAACCCTAAATCTACCTGACCTTACAGTGAATTTTAAACAAAATTTATAAGAAGAAATAAATATAATTTTTAAATAAGACCCTCCAAAACACAGAAGAGCAGAAATACTCTCAGGGAACTCAGTGAGATTCTGATACCAAAACCAGACAAAGAAGCATATTCCAAGGAAAAAGTTTTCATTCTAGAATGTGAAAGCAGAGCCTTTTCTTATAACTAGCATCACAATTATTATTTAATACAATATTTGCTCTTTTATGTGAATTTTGTCTTAAAGTAGAGCAGCTTCCATTTTTTTCTACACAGGAACATCCATTTTCAAAATTCCACTTTTGTTGTTATTGTTTGTTTACAAAATCCTTTGGGTTTTCTGGGCAAAAAAACATATCATCTTGTCTGTATAATTCACTCTTATTTTTACAGAACTTCTATGTTTATTATCGTTAAAATGCAGTCATTGACAATGATCAAGAATCCCTATAAACAAAAGGATAAAAACAAAGCACATTAGAGACGAGATGCCTATATGGAAGAGAAAGTTACGTGTAAAGAGTCATAATGGGGGCTGGAGAGATGGCTCAGAGGTTAGGAGCAATGCCTGCTCTTCCAAAGGTCCTGAGTTCAATTCCCAGCAACCACATGGTGGCTCACAACCATCTGTAATGAGGTCTGGTGCCCTCTTCTGGCCTGCAGACATACACACAGACAGAATATTGTATACATAATAAATAAATATAAAAAAAGAGTCATAGTGATAACAATATTGTATGATCAAAGGCACTCTATTCAAGTTATCCCTCTGTGCACGTGGTAAAACTCAGTCCACCACATCCCTCTGTGCACGCAGTCAAACCCAATTCACCCACTAGCTGTATCACCTTAGGAAATGTCGTGTCTGAGTTAAACATACCAGAGAGACTTTAAAGATCACTGTGGCAGACTAGAGAGGCTCAATTCCAGTGGACCAAAGGCAGGAGAAATTTTAAACTGGGATGAGTTAGTAGAAAGGTTCTGGATGGCATTATCGGAGATGTTGGCCCGTGAGATATATCCAGTGCATTGGGTCATTTCTGAGTTTTCAAGTGTTTTTCCCTGATTAGACCATCTGTGTTTGCTAGTCAGCGTCTCTGCTGTCAGAGACCTAGAGCTGGGAATACTTTCCTCTGCTGTGTTTTTAATGTAGAGATGTTTTCTAGGTCCTTGAGAAAGACATCCCTGGATTGTAAAGTTGTCCAGAGATCAAGACAGTATTCATACACAGTTCAAAGAGAGACAAGCAAGTAACTTACAAGTTCTGATTTTTCCAGAGTAGAAAGGGAACTTAGAAGCAGGAGAGATGCTCAAGGGATAACTAAGGGTGTTTTCTGCTGGTGTAGAGGACCAGAGTTTGGTTCTCAGAACCCATATTAGGATGGTACAACTTCCTGTAACTCTAGCCCCAGGGGATCTGACACCTCCTTCTGCCTCCTAGGGTATCCCCCTACAAATACAAAGACACATATACACACGTAAGTAAAAATAAAATAAATATTTAAAAAATACAGAGTAATTGGGGCTGGAGAGGTGGCTTGGTAGTTAAAAGCACTGGCCAATCAGGTTCTCTTGCCAGTTTTCATAGCCACATCTGTGACATTAGTTTCAGGTGCCCTCTTCTTCCCTGCTCAGGGACCAGGCACACATGTAATGCATAGACATGAATTCAAGCAAACCATTCATTTATATAACATAATAATAAATATTAAAAAGAAAACAGAGCTAAAAGGCATCTTGTTCAATACATATCAGAAAATTACTAAGCTATTGAAGTCAAAGCAGCAAACATTCAAGAAATTTAAGATGTCAGTTTACCTATCTCCTGGACATGCAAGCTCAGCTGGTTACTCATTGGCCACCCAGTGTAGCTACCCTTCTGAATTATTATTATTATTATTATTATTATTATTATTATTATTATTATTTTTTTTTTTGGTTTTTCGAGACAGGGTTTCCCCGTGGTTTTGGAGCCTGTCCTGGAACTAGCTCTTGTAGACCAGGCTGGTCTCGAACTCACAAAGATCCGCCTGCCTCTGCCTCCCAAGTACTGGGATTAAAGGCGTGCACCACCACCGCCCGGCTACCCTTCTGAATTATTATACCTGAGGAGTCTGCTTATATAGCACCCTCGGAAAAATATTTAGAAAAAGAAAATCATGAAAAAAAGACAATGGTGTGATTGCATTAGAAACAGTCTGAGTCATTGTTCATGTGTTTCTATTCTAAGAATCAGTTTTTGTTGTTGATTCTGAGCAGCACAAGATAAAGGAATCTCAAAGATGTCTTTGAACTCTTAACTTGGAAGTCTTCTGTCACATCATCTTCATCTGCTTTCTATTGCTGCAACAGAATATCTGAGACTTGGGAACTTACGAAGAAAAGAAGTATATTTAGGCTCTCTGTCCAAGCATGATGCTGGCAGTCCACCCCTTGGAATTCGTAGTGAAAACAGGGAGTGCAAGCATTTACGGGTAAAAGACAAAATAGGAGAACAGCCTCCCTCTGTAACAACTCACTCTAGTGGTGACTGATTCAGACGCATGAGAGCTAGAACTCACCACCAGGAGAACTAGCCCAGGTCCATGAGAAAGGCATTAATTCAGTCAGGAGTGCTCCATTCCATGACTCAAACGCTAACCGCTAGACCTTTCCTCTCACCGCTGCCAGACTGAAAGACCAAGGTTCCAGTGTGCAAACTTTGAGGGTATGTGGGAAGTGGATGAAGGGATGAGTGTGTGTTGTTTGACATGGGCTGTGTCAGGTGCAAGGGGTTGACCAGGTCTTTTGCTTGTCTGGGTACAAATGTTGACAGAGTGTACAGAAATTATCAGTCACAGCTTCCTCCTCCTGTATGACTACAGCCTGAGACCACATGCTATAGAGACCTCCTACCAAGGTCAGCTAAACTTGCCTTCTTGTTCAGTCATATATCATAAACTTAACTCCATGTTCAGCCATGTACCCTAAATCCACCTCCGTGTTCATCCACGCACCATAAATCCACCTCCGTGTTCATCCACGCGCCATAAATCCACCTCCGTGTTCAGCCATATATCACAAACCCACCTCCTTGATCATCTGTATACCATAAACCCATCTCTGCATTCAATCATATGCCATAAACCCACCTCAGTGTTCAGCCATGTACTATAAACTCACCTCCATGTTCAGACACGTACCATAAACCCATCTCCTTGTTCAGGTATGTACCAGAAACCCACCTTCATGTTCAGCCGTATACTATAAACCCACCTCCTTGTTCATCTGTATGCCATAAAAATACCTCCTTTCAGAGACATAAAGTAAACCCATTGAGTTTCCAGGCTGCTGGTGCATCTCCATCAGTGTGCATAGCACACTCGTCCCAACCTTTCTGACATGTGTCTGTCCTCCTTGTCACACCAGTCAAGTCTAAAGTCATGCAGATCATGGCAAGGGCACACACTGAAACCATAGCAAACGTGAATTAAGGTTTCTTTTCTTTATTATTTTT